ATTGTAATAATTGACGCGCCGGAGTACATAGTGACAGATTCAATCTCGACCTAAATCTGCCAACCAATAGTGCAACCGACTGTCAACCAATGAGTTAAACGCTTCCTGTCTACGGTTGTATTATTAACGAATAAATTTGATGTTTATATTAATTATTATTATCTATGTTTTAGTGTGAAAAATGATTTATATTAATATTGTGTTACTTTGAAAAATCCTATTGATGTAAATTGTGCAAATAAAGTTTATTTAAAAATTATAAAAACCGAAAACGACAACATTATTAGATATAGCAAAACATACGTAGGTAGCAAGTGAAAGTCCCAAGGTTGGGCCAAACGAGTTCCTTTGCCCTTTCTCGGCTTTTGTTAGGGACTCAAGGACGAGGCCTGCATTGTTGGGATCTCTTTTTTATATCCCTCGTAATTGTATGCGTCTGCGCAGCTAGGCGTGACGGCGCGGAGTTAAATTTAAAAACTTTTCCACCATACAGCACCAATAAAGTTTTACAAAAAGTTGCCGGCTCTGGCAATGTTTACAGATTTTATAGCGGTATTTAAACCTCAAAATAGGCAAACAAATACTTTTATGTTAGGTTATAAACAGTCCTAAACGTTTCTCAGAATTGTCCTCTAGACGACTCTACATAATAGCTACAAGTTTAGTCAGTATGAAAATATTTGAATGGTTAATGAAGTGACGTGAACTTTGCAGTTACTGAATAATTAAATAAATAAATCAATCTGTTCTTTTAAACCTATTTATCGAAATTATAGAAGATACAATTTTAAAAATAATTTTAAATCTCTGCTGCTAAACAGCTCTTTATAATTAAGTTTTTTCTTATTTGTGGAATCAAAATAATCTCTTCTAAACAGCTTCCAGTTATAAACAGAAAACGAGAAATTATTATAATTTTTATAAAAGGTCATTAGTTTTTTTGTTTGTAAAAGTAAAATATAACGCGAATGTAAATGTTTAGGTGAACATAAGCGTTTGAAAAAAAAATTCCAAACATTTTATTAGCACACGAATTTAGAATTACGTGTAGCGCAGATGTGGTCTTGAATACCAACGCCGACTTGCCTTTTGCGGTGAGATGGAGACGATAACGCTAATTGCGCCAATGAGATAATATCCCGCAGACCAACAAAATAAATAAAACGGAGTATAACAAATAAAAGTATATTTTTATACTTGTTGTGTGTTGACATAAATAATGATAATATATTTTGAATGGATTTTTTATGCTATAAATAAAACAAAATGTTAACACTTTCAGCGCCGAGGATTAGCTCAGTGAGTTTATTTTCATAAAACAATCGAGGTGATATGAAACGTGTTGAGTTAGAAGAAATCTGTTCTGAACCAGATTAAGGAACTGCATATGTGTATTTTTTTTGTTATAGACTGTCTGTATTATTTTCTACCTAGGTAAGTTATTCCTTGTACGTTTACTTCACTTTGTATTTTAAATTGTATGTAACTTTCTTAACTTTCTGATAATTTATAAGTTAACCTTTAGCATTTCAAAATTCAAAAACAAATAATAGATGGGTGAAAGGTTTGTAATAATATTGTAGTTTTATTTCCCTAACAGCTCTTTAATTAAAACTAAATGCTCTGTTCTTTTTTTCATGGTGTCTGACATTTAGAAACCTGATAAAATATATCTATATAAAATATTGTATTCATTTGATTCACCATATATAAAATTCTTATACTGTCGAACGATATTTCACTACACAATTCCCTTTGAAGTAACTTCAAAGGTATACCTTTACTGACTTGTATATAAATGATAACATCATTTTATTGCATAATTTAATACAAGTACAATTTAATTGTTTTAAAAGTAACAAGTATTGATAATATCGAAAATTACCATACCGTAAGTATCAGACAGCATTGAAATCATTAACGAGTTCTATTTAAATTGTGCGGTTTTACTCTATGATACGGTTAGGCAAGGCCTCCTAATTACCATGTTCGTATCTATTCAGTCTTTGTTTCCTGTACGGGAATAACATGCTACCTTGAATTGGCGCATTAATTTGTTAAATCGGACAAAGCGGAGTTTGTATTTTTTGGCGATTTGTTGTTACTCTCACGACAGAATATTAAAACAACATTTAAATGTAACAATGTTTTAAATAATAACACCACGTTTACACTCAATCCATTAAAATTTTGTCGTACTTCGTACTTTAAGCGGAGCATAAAAAGTAAGGTCTTAATAATAAGTCAATTAACAAAGTTAAGTTAGAAACACAATAAATTGCTACTTGAATTAGATAGAATTTAACTTTTCAGTTACTATTACTTTAGTTGTAAGTTAAAAATAATATTTAAGTAACAACAAAATACCGTTATTTCGCAACGTATTTCTCGCTTAGGAATTATGACGCAAATACTTTTTAAACAGTAATTTAATTACAATTTATATAATTATATAATGAGTAAGAGGTGGTCAAACAGGTATTTGAATTAACTTAAATATTTTAAATGCATTGTTGCGGGATATGGAAAATATGCTTGTAAATTATTGTAATTATATTTAGGCTTATGGGCATTCGCAGCCTTGAAGGGGCCTCCGCAATTTCGTCGGGTTTCTAAGTCACTGGCAACCCAGTGTTGTATAAAAATTTTGTAGTTATTGATAGCTTGCTTTGTACCATTGATAACTTAACTCACTGTTATATGTTCTTTTATTTCGTCAAATGCATTCAAACATATTTAATACCATTACAATACTAATGCTTAAGTGCTAATATTTTTTATTACACTTAGTTGTTGCTTGCTTTTCATTATAAGAAAAATAAGAATAAACACACTGAAGTATACGATAACAAATAGTACAATACATATGTAAAAATTCTCATTGCTATAAAAGTATGTAGAAGAAACGGCGCGACCGCGGAGCGACTATCGTGTCCTTGCGACCGGGGTTATCGGACGCTGTTAACATTTAACGTATTAAATAAAACGTAAGACAGCTATGAAGAACCGCTTCGGACACACATAAAACTCCGTTGAAGCCTTTTTTTATCGACTTAAATACCGATAGTACACGGTACACGGTGCGCCGGGAGTGGCCGAGCTAAGGATCGGTTGAAAGGTCGTCGAGAAGGACACTTTTTGTTCTGAATTATTTATTTTTCGTACGCTTTGCCGACAACCGACATATGGGGACCGTTCGTGCCATGTGAATATTGAACGTCCATTTGTTTTGTTCGGCTTATTTATGTAACAGTCAATACAATAAATTCTGTCAAAAATTAAAATAACGTACCTAAGTAGAATGTTTAATAAATTAGTTTGTTATACCTATGGTTCTTCTTTAAATTGTGTGCAAAACGGTTATACGAATAACACATTCTTTATCAATTCTTTTGCGTGGAAACACAGTTACCAAGGTCAAGGTAAAAATGTAAATTAGTATTTTGTAATGAACCTGTTTGAAATCGCGAAGAAATTTTTATCTGATAGATGGCATATAACTTTCAAATCAACGCATACAAAAGTAATTGCTAAATCTTCCGGATATTTTTCTGTTGCTGTAGTGTAACAAAAAACTTCGTATTTAAACTTCGTGTCTAAACGAACGGCCACAAAAACTGTTTGGAGTCTTCATTATAACTTTGATCGTGGCGTGAATCACAACCAGATTTGGCCAGGGTTAATGACCCAAATATGTTTAGCGAAGTGTTCAAGGACAGTCGACTAATTTGGTTAGCTAACAGAAAAAATCTCGTATCTAAGATGGCGATCACTTGATTTGTTTTCGTATTGCGTCTCCGGTTTGACAACAATTCGTTTGAATATATTTTGTCTAAAAAAATTTATTACCGTTATTTTAATTTCATTTTAACATAAATAATATGCAAGAAATTAAGATATCTGTTAAAATAAACCTATTAATACTATATAATAATTTGATTAATTAGCAACATTCAATTTTTAAATTGAAACCAAATAACACAATTGTTTTCGAAGAATGTGAAGATATTTCAATACATATAATCCTTTTAAGTTATATTATTCAACTTGACATTCAAGAGCTTAAAAAACGCTTTGGGGATGACAGAAAGTAGATAAAGGCATTCAGTCTTCTTCACTAATGTCTTTCGATAAAAAAGGGTTGGTTTCTTATAATATTGGATGGGTTGAATGTAAAGTAACATGAGACGTATTATGAAAGTATCTATAAATATATGAACTAGAAACAAGTGAGCGATTCTTAGGTTATGTGCGTTAAATGGAAGTCAAACTGGACAATTGCATCTTACATAGCATGGTATGGGCATGTTATAAGGGATGAACCGCATATAACAAGGAGAACGTTATTTATGAGTATGGAAAGTAAAGGTAAAGGAAGACCTAGAAAGAGGGATGGATGGTGTGAAACGTGACATGATCAAGAAGGGAGTGATGACTGAGATGACGCAAGATAGAGTTGTGTGGAGGACAAAAACCTGTGTCGCCGACCCTACGGGAGTAGAATAAGGAGGAAGATGATGATTTTGAACTTCATTTTTGATCATCATTAGTTAATGTTATTTGCGTTAAATATGCATAAAGGAAATCAGTCATGCGTGTTAAATATTTTGTTATGCATTTAACTGTTCGCAACGAATTTAAATATACTATAAAATCGTGTTCGTTGCGACTAACGAAATTTTTGACACGTGTAAGAAACACTAATAGCCGACGGTAATGAATGACCGTATACGCTGATTTTACTCACGACGTTTACGCATGCCTTGATTAATTCAATTAAACACACGCCCATTGTTTGAAGTAAATTGTAATTTTACTATAATACGATTAAAAATCTTTAATTTACAGTGTTTAAATTTCAAGATTGTTTATTTTACTTACTAATGTATGTAGGATATCTTACAAGTAGGCTTTGACTGTATTAAAGGTGACAATTATTTAAGCATTATGTACAATAGACAACAGTTAAATCGTAGAAAGAAACATGTTGTTTCTAAGAACTTTTTCCTTTAAACAATAGAAAGGGATTATCCAACGTTGGCGCCAAACTTCGAATGGAAATAGGATCAGGTGGGATTAGATTTAAACTGAAGTTGATGTTTTTTGTGCCTTCGTTTACTTAGAAAGTAATACGCCTCATTGAACAAAGGATGGGAGATCTATTGAGAATTTAACAAGTTGAGTTTTTTTAGAATTAGAATAGGTAAATCTTGGACAGCCTACTTAAAAAATTAAAAATATATTAAACAAATACAAATTTCTTGACAACTATAATGTATATTTTACAATAAGTAATAATATCAAATGCCTATCTATATACTAATTAAATGAACTATATTAGGCAAACCCCTCTGTTTACACAGCAAAGAATATGTTTTCTATTAAAACAACGGCAGATGTAAATTCTAAAAGTGGCGTGTGCGATTAAAAACAGTCCGGACCCGCATGTAATGTTGCGAAACCGGTGCGTTGTGTTGCGAAGTTTATACCGGGACATGTGTCGTTGGAGTTCCTAGAAACAAATGCCTGCACATCACGTGTATCGCATCTTGCCGGGAACTTGGCAAAAAAATTAATGGCAACACTCGAATGTGACTCTATCGATATGTGGACTTTCAAGTTCTTCCACTTGACCACAATTTTTTGTATTCATTCAAGAGAGTTTGAATTGCTTCGAGCATTTATAACTTGAAAATGTCTGTCTTTAGAAATAAAAAAAAGTTTAAAGGAAGTTAACGGGAAATGTGCAAAATTAAAATTCCTGACCTGTCTAACTTTGGCTCAAGCTAAATTTGTTCAGACAAAATAATTAAAAGATTAAGTTTAAATGAATGTACGGTGATAAAGTTCTTTGTTCGAGTAGAAATCTTTCCGAGAACAGTTTTGCAGTTCCATTATGAATGCAATCGGAGTATTTTTTATGATCTTTGCAAAAGCAAAACCTTAAAAAGGTAGCTGAAACACAATGGGCAAAGGATACAATAGCGCTGCCGGCCACATGGTGAAATAAGTTCTTCGTTTTACAAAAAAAAGTTAACTGTTTGTACACGACGATACTTGATAAAGATTATTGCTAACTACAAATACTTGATCCTTCGTAACTTCGAAATTTATTTTTCTCCTAATATTACTCAGGTATTTAACCCAACATTTAAACAAACTTATTGTAAATCATTTGTTAAATGAAGAGAACCGTAAGATGTTTTGACCTTGACATTGCTTTATGTTTTATCAGCATAAAAAATAAAACTTTTATAAATTAAAAAAAGAATCATATTGTTACGCTTATCAATGATAATTCTATCAATTAAATATTTTTTTTAATATGAAATAGAAGTCCCATTCAACCCTAGCAGCTAACTTGAGGGCTATTGAAATAACAAGTAGACAATGCAACATTCCATAAAAGGGCAAGTCAACAAGCAGACCCTTGTCCCCAATGGTAGTGTCAACATGACACGCGGGCTCGGTAAACGATGCGCATATTCATTGTTCAGATATTATAACTTAACACTCTTACTTCTTTTTATTTTTACTACCCATATTTTCTATCACATTGGCAGTTCCCGGGGACGCATTTAATTTATAAATGGTCTGGTCTGTTATCGCGTACAAAAAGATCTTAAAGATTATAAGCTTTACGGTAATGCTATTTTTTATAACGACGTACTTGTTAAGTTTATAGCGAAGTTATCTTTACTTTGTCGTGGTTTTTGTCTTTCAGAGCTAACCAACATAGGATTTCGTCGCACTTAATTTACTACGACACGGGTTTCCACATCAATGCTTCTATGACAGTTAACTCTTGTACTGAAATACGATCCCCTGCGATAACCGTAGCCGCTGCGCTTCGCAACTTCCCCGGACCGGTTGAGTGTGTAAAAACGTACCGACAAGAATCTCGGCCGATTATTTTATTTTCTGTAAATAAATTTTTCTCTAGTTTCTTTTTAAATACAATCCTTCATCTCTGAAAACTCTGGAGATGAACACGTACTGATTGTGAAACGCATTGTATTTTTTTTCATAATACGTAAGGGGCGCGAATAAAAATTACGTTGGCATTTGTTTTTATTTCTGCTACTAATAAACTAAATTTTATAAAAGCGTATTAAATGCTTACTTTAACACGATTAAACTAATTTTATAACGGTTCATAAAAAAACAGCGTTTGTAATCAATTTTTACTCCCAATTTAAAATCTTACATATATGCGTATATATGCGTTTTATTTTATAATCGCCAAGTTCAATTATAAACCTTCATGTAACCTAGGTTTCTTAATGAATTTTACAAGAAGCAGTTAACGCGATTGCTTTGACCTACTACAACGTAATTAGCGAAACCAGTTTCTATAACTTCATTAATTTCTTTGTAGTTAATTTCTAAAGTTAAACAATTTGAGTTAACGTTCTCTTACCTAATATGACATTAGTAACGTAATTATTAAATTATTAATAACGGTAATGTTATTTCTATGAGCTTTTTAAAAATAATACAATTAAGATAAACTATTCATGTTAAAAATGCGACATTGTTTCTTATTAAAAGACACTAGTTTCTAATAAGATTTATGTTTCTACGATACTTTTAAGATAATTTCAATATAGGATGAGAAACGCGTTGAAATCTTTTGTACTAGTATTATGTCATAATTATGAAGTTTAAAAATGTTAATTCTTTCTATCTAAATAATTATATTATTTTTTATGTAATATTAATATTTGAATTCTAATTTAATAATATAACGCTAAAATCAACTACATGACACATGACTTTCGGCATCTTGAAATATCTGCACGCGTTTTTGTACAGGTGGCATTTCACCTGTAATTACAATGAACCCTTTTGTGTCCCCCCACGCATTAAAAATTGCGCGATAACGTCCTTAATGCGAACGTCCTTCTTCTAACGGTGCCATCAATCGTTTTTAATATAGTTGTTATCTTAGTTAAATTTTACTTAGTTAAAAAATGTATACATACTGTTTTAAATAGAGTATCATCTGCCCAGTTCATGTGTACACGTAGTATGTCCTCTCTAAGAACTAAGGCTAGATAGAATTCACCCTGAACATAGTCATAGTACTATTTTTTTTGTTTTTTGAAGTAACCGATAAAAGCATGTGATGTTAACATTGCGCGTAATACGCATACAACAGCTAAACCAATTAGTTTAAAAGGACAATTGGTATTGCGGTGACTAACCTAAATACAAAGCGAGTAGCAATGGCTGCCGGAAACAGTGCCATTGTGCGGCAATCATTGACACCTCGCTGCCTACATCATCCGGTCAATTCCGGCCTCGTGATGTGACTCTCAACTTGACCGTACATGTACGCCATATAATGCTATCGACCGACACAAGTCTAACTTAGCGTCATAGATTCTTTTTTATACATGTCCTCCCTAGTTTAGGAGCTAATATCTTTTAGAATATCCTTCGTGTTTTAAAAATTACATAAATTTAAATCTTTTATGTTATCTTACAACTTTATCGACATAATTTTACATCTACATAGGTATTTTAGTGTAATATGCACCGAAACTAATTTGCACAAATATTTGTTCTGATATCGTGAATTGTACAGTTTATTATCCTAATTGTTATATACGTTTTATATGCGATGTATGAAGAGCAAAAACAAATCATGTGGTCAAATTTTAGCACATCTATGAGAATAAACATGCAATGGAAAGACGCAAAAACTCGACAGTTATTTCAATGATTCACACTTTGTAACCATCCGAGACCGTTAAAATCTCCGGTGACGATACTCAAAGATAGACAACTTTTATTTGCATAGTATCTTCAAATATTTTTAACCTAATGATGCATTGGTACTGTCCGCTAATAGTTTTTTTTGCAATAATATTTTTTTCTTTGTAATTTTACAAATACCTAACGTTTTGGTAACAAAAGAATAACGCTTAAATTTAATCACGACAAAAGTTTTTGTATACGTAGTAAAATCTTCCATTAAAAAGGAATTTTATGTTGTCCCAGCTGAAAAGTTTTAATATGAATCTGTGGACAAATGACACGAAAAAATTAAGGATCACGCAACTCCCACATGATCTCAGGTAGATTTGTGTTGTGTGATGCTCGGTGGACGAAAACTGGATTCTGGGCAAGTGCGAGATCCTTTTTTTGGCAAGTGGCCGTTATGGAGGAAGTGATAAATGAAACGTTACATTTGAATGAGGTTCAGTTTAAATAAATAAAACATGATGTGTAAAAAAACTATTTTGCATGAAAGAAAGTGCATAAGATAAAGCAAAACGTCTTAAATAAGGAGCAATGACTCTAATGTACAAGAACAATAATGAGAAAATTTAAGAAGATATTTGAAGACATTACTAGACATATTGCATAGTTATATAGGGTCTTTAAAACTTACCGATGCATTCCTTATCCTTCTTGGACAATAGAGCAATAGGTCCATCGTCGAGAGGCGAGCCGGGGCAGAGCGTGTCGGCTTTGCTGGCGAGCAACTCCTGCCCCTCCTGCAGCCCCAGTTGCTGCTCATGCAGCCGCTTCTTAATCAGGAAGATCTTCGGCATCTTCGAGCTTTAAGTAGCACTGCACTCAATCCTTGCTTTGCGTTCAGTCTAAAAGAATTCACCCCGTCCAGGCACGATCAACACAAGTTTGCATCATAACACTGCACGGTAAGTTTCCTCGCGTGGCTGTTTGTTTGTAGCGGAGCAGCTAGCGGCACATGCGGTACCGTTGGCCGCTGCGAGAGGACTGAGAGCTAGTGTGCGTGCGGCGCTCGCGACACCGTTGCCCGGACAGGTCCGCCCGCGCCCGCGCCGCCGGCGCCGCCCGCCCCGTGCGTCCCGTGCGCCCGCGCAGACATCGCAACCCGCCCGCCGACCGCTGACTCCCATACAAATACAGATTCCAGTAAAAGTGCTCGCTCACAGACGTTCCTCCCGACATCATTTAACAATGCCGCTTTTGTTTCCTTGTCTATTGTGCATCGTCTGGTCTCAATTTCAATGAAACAAAAATACCTACCTTTACTTTATTTTAGGATTATGAGTTTTCATTTCAAGCTTATATAGGAGTTCCATGTGGTTATAAATTTTGATGTAAAATGAAGTAAAATACCTGAGGAAAGAGTTGTATTAAATTTCAAGAACAATTTACATTACATCTGTGTCAAACGAATCACTAAAATGACTCACAAAAATTTTGTAAACTTTAAAATGTCAGGAAATGAATCAAAATAATATGAGATGCAAGTTATGCTAAATATGGATGCTGCACATTAATGATTTTGAGGTCAATATAACTATAATTCTTTATGCACGAGTCGCTACGAAGTGCACTCATACATATTCATTATTCAGACAAAAATCTAAATGTAGGTATACTTGGAACGTAGACCGCTCGTATGTCGGTAGTCTTTCAATTAGTGAGAAGAATTTAACAAATGAAAGGAGCAGACAGAGTGCAATCAGCTAAGGGTATTTTACATCTAAACAAACGGGGATTCACACAAAAGTTACTTCAATAAACTTTACGATTATTGTTAGTAAAATGTTCATTTTAATCTACATCTCTTTGTTTAGAAGGGAACATTATGCGGACTGTCGGTCTCTTTAGATCTTTCCTTGTCTTTCAAATATCGCGGCACAACTTTGATTGCACCATTTCTCTTTAACAGTTGCTTGTTTAGGGTAATAGTATCTTTTTTCACACATGAAGACAATGTAACAAAACTAAGTCGAGTGTTGTAGCAGACTCATACCAGTACTGGTTATATCCGGTTTAAAAATAAACTTCATGAAATACAAAATTACGCATCAAACACTATTCTGTTGCTTACAAATAATTTCCTGGAATAGATAATACTGCTATCCTGGGTGTCGGCGTCTTTGTAAAGGGATTTAGATGTCTTAGTGAAACTGTTCATAATACCCTATTGGTATTTTCGGTATGTTTTTTGTTGTTAGTATAAAGAGAAAGTATTAAAATATCTTAAGTTGGTCTTAACCAATGAAGCGTAAATTAAAAGTGAAAAAAAATGTATCCCAAATAGTGTAGTTAAAAGGTGAAGAGATTCCTAATACGTTATTTAAAAAAATGTTATGTTCCAATCACAATTGTTAATTTATTTATCGACGGTATTAATTTGAAGATTCTTATAGCACTCTTAAGGGCAAGCCGCCCACTTTGCTTAGCGTGGTAAAAGATTACAAGATTCGAAACAAACGGTTTTAAAAATAGATTTATTAAGTAAAAGTTAAGTTACCCGTTAAGTAATCTATTTCTTATTTCAATTTTAGTAAAATTAAATACATCTTCGTCATGATTTAAAACAATTATGTTTAAAATAAATGGTAACTTTAGTTATTTTGCACAAATACGACAATACTAAAAGCTTGCCGAAACCGTTTCGCATTTAGAAACAGTATTTTAATAAAAATATTAATAAGGATTAGATTAAGCTGTTTCATTCTTATTACTAGTAACTAAAGTATAAGCAGTTATATCCCCAGTGGATATTAACTACTTCAGTTAGTAGCTTTACTTAAAATTATAATCGGAAGCGAACTATGTTACCATCAACTTAGCACAGACTTTTAACATAAATATCGATAGACAGGACGTTACGAACAAAACAGTACTTTCGAAAAGATGTTCCGGTAGGTCCTCTACACTTGATAGATATTTAAAATGTTTAAAGGAAGGTACTCGTTATGTCCGCTCTATAACTTATATTACATTTGAATGTCTACGACTTGTAGGAAGGAGGTTAACGTTGCCTAGAACTTGAGCGCTTCGTCGGACCGGAACACGCCGCGTCGCATCACCGCCTAGCTGCAGGTTGCGTTGCGTAATCGACGCACACGCAGATTTGTTAACTTTTTTATTTTCTAAGAAAAATAGGTCAAAGACAAAAGTACCGACTTTTATCATTCATATGTTTGACACATTATTGTTTCTAAATAATATAGAACTAAGTTACATTTCTTTTCTTCTTTGAATTACTTATATCGAGGAAGAAATAATGATTTTAAAATAGTAAAGGTGGTGTCTACTACTACTACGTACTATTTTATAATAGTAATTTAGAACATTTAATTTTTAGTAAATTTGTAGTGTCAATAACATAAAGAAAATTAACCTAAGAAATACATCATAACATCATAGTAATATGAACTAACCATCATAAATAAATCTGAACAGTAATTACTTTAAAAACCATTTTTTTTAAGAGAAGGAGGCATATAGGAACACCGAGGTAATTATCAACTCCTATTAACATCCGCAATACCTGACAAATTCACCTATAACTTGTCATCTATTCCCACGCATTGCGTAATTTGTAAAGCAGATGATATGTTGATATCATTATATAAACGCGCACTAATATTGTGTCCAAAGGTAGCCGCCTCATCCACAAATGCATGTGTTCGATAGTCATCAGAGCAACGGTACACTCGTTGCATTCGCGATGATGGCGACCAACCACGCGCAATGTAACAACGGCCGGGAATAAATTGCAATAGTATATTAATAGTTCGAACCGGTCCGATGATTGCACTTCCACTGAACACGTATTATTCAATTAGTCGCACGAGCCATACTTTATTAGCTACAAGATTTTGCTAGCTTCATCCTAGCGAAATTTAAATAAAATCTGGTAATAAATATAGCCTGTGTTACTCAGTGGTAACATAGCTTTCTAATGGCAAAAGAATTTTTAAAATCGGTCCAGTAGTTTTTAAGTTTATTAGTTACATATGAAAATACAAATGTTACCTCCTTAAAATATTAGTATAGAAGTAATAGTAGGTCTCTAATGTTAGTTATTTTTTGATAAACATGCATAAGATGCGTATTATTGAAGGAAAATATACTTGATAATACAGGAAGTCTCAAAACTTCTAATAAATTTTTTGAATAAAGAAAATTTTCTTTAACTCTATTACTTCATAATATAATAGACATCTTTTTAATGTTCTAACGGATTTGATAGAATATAAAAATATGAATTGTAACGCGATTTCCAGTGAATTAATATACACAATATACACCTCGCCTGTGATAATTTTAATGTGACCTTCTCAAGAATTGAATAATTTTTTGGTCGCCGAATAGTTCTTCGAACTTTCGATCAAGCATTTTCACAGATACAAATGTAATTTCATTAACAATGTAACTTGTGTATTTTGATGATCAAGATTTGTTATATTTTGTCTTTAAAATACAGGAAAAGCACATTTTTATGATCAACCAATAGTCGAACATATCCCAATATCACGTGGTCGATAGATTGTACATTGGCTTAATAAATGCCTTTTCACCCCACTCTTAAAGTTCCAATCCTGGTACTCTTAACGAACGATGATATTTATTTAATGTTAACGGTCATTAAAACAGGCTTTAACTTACGCCCATTGCTTTAGAATGTAAAAACTAGATCGGCTAACATTTTATATTATGACGTAAAGACTCGTCTACGTCATATTTATAAATCCTTAAGTATTCTTGGATTTCTATATTTATACACCGAGGACAAATTAAACTCTGATATAATTTTAATTAAAATTTTCCGTAACATCTAAGTTTATAGTCGTGTGTAGATAAATCGAATTATTAAGACGGGATAACTAGCTCAATCATACAACTTAGTTAAAACGGAAAAATACAAAAAAGTTTTAATTATTACATATAAGACTTAAAATACATTGAATTTTTAATTTCATATATGATACAGTAGATATAAAAATTATAAGCCATAAAATTGTTATGGACTTGGTTTACAATTTTTAAAAAGTCGTGTTCTGCTTGTAGGATTTACCAGAAATAAGACCATCAAATAATGATTATTAAGTTTCGATGCTGAATAAGCTTCTTAAAAATTTGGACTGACACTAATACCATTTATATGACTGTGATATGCTATATAACATGAAATGAATGTAAGGGCCGCCATACACGAGTTTTAAGTAATCAAACAGAATTCTTCAATCGATTGGCACTCGGTGGCATTTTAAGTGACGCCTACAAAATGTGGTCTGTTTAAGGAAAACATCAATTGCGATCAGCTAATCTTCCAACGTCAACTTTTACCTGTAGGTACTGACTGCTTTAAGCAACTCGTTTATAGCTACCCTTAGAAGTACATACATACATAATTTCGAATTCATTTGTATCTATAAAATCCTTGATTAAAGAGAGACTTCTGAATATTACAAAAGTGAATGGCACTGTCGATAGTTGTTGCAGACATATGTAAAAAACCATATTGGTGACATATTGAAAATTTACGATCGTCCGTATACTTTATTAGACTAACAAATATTTTTAAGCACATTCGCTTAAAAGATTTCAAAGTAGATGAACAAGATATTTTTCCAATCAAATGACGTATGATTGGTAAAATAGCTATTGAAATAGATAGCACGTAGAGCGTGTTTCGTTTTATCCAAGAAGAGGTAGTAACGTAAAACAGTATAGTTAAATAAAAATAATTTACCAAAGGTCTAAGCAACGGTAATCCACGCTTCAGTCAATTGTCAAACAAAGATTCTTAAACTAATTTACTCAGGCGTGCCGTGGTGGAATGCCGTAACTTGTGTGATTAGGAAATCTTTTCGACTATGTGAATCGTGCGTCTGAAAATTCTCAAGCGTCCGTATATGTTTATACCTATACCGGTTGTCAAAAGGCTGCGCCGGCGCAGGCGCGGTGGTGAGAGGTGTGCGAGGGGCAAAGCGCGGAGGAGAGGGGCGGGGGAGTGGCAGGGCCGGGTACAGCGACCG